ATGTATACGTATATGTATTTAAGAATGTATATATATATGTATGTATGTATGTATGTATGTATGTATGTGTACATATGTATGTTCAGTACCCAAACATATACAACACCCCACATACCGTTGATAGTCTGGCCATGATTGTTGACCTCCGTCTCGTACTTAGTCTGTGCTGCCGCGGTGAGTGCACACTGCCTCTCGAGGTCTTGTCTGAGTGCTTCGTCTTCGGCTCGTGCGGTATTGAAGCGCAATGTCATCTCTTGGATCTCTGCCTGCAGACCCTTTTCAGACAGCTGGTTATAGGTAGTATGTCAATTGTTTTCAGACAGCTGGTTATGGGTAGTATGTCACTTGTTTTCAGACAGCTGGTTATAGGTAGTATGCCAATGGACACATCAGCTAATATCCCAATACATCGCAAACAAATAAGATTGTATGTCAAGCACACTGTCAGCTTAAGAGTCTCTGCTTGCACATTCTTTGCACACAAACGGCTGAGCAGAACCGCCCGTCAACTGGAGATCAACCCAACTATAGATATACGTCACTTAAACACTCAACCCAACTATAGATATACGTCTCTTGAACATGTGTATTGATGACAACACACCTGTCTGTCAGCCGAGAGCCTGACAAATCCCTCGTGAATATGAGACTTATCAAGGACATGCATAGCAACGACATGGAATAAGACATGGCAACATCAGCCACATGTAATATAAGAAGTCCTGCACTTACAACCAGCAAATATCAATAGACTTATACAGAAAAAGAATCCATATACCTACAGTCAGCACACATCAGTAGACGTATTACAGTAAAAGGTTACCTGCGCATGGAGCTTTTTCCAACAACGGGTCAATCATTGTAAACACGTCCTGTCACACACGCCCACACACATACAACGCCGCATACACACAGGTAATGCCATATGCACAAACAAGCACACATATATTCATACACAGAGATAATACCACGTGCACAAACAAGCACACATATATTAATACACACAGATAATACCACATGCACAGGACACTATCTCCAACAACAGATACCCATACAAAACACTGCACACATAGAACGGCGATATCTCACTCCAAACAAGCACACATATATTAATACACACAGATAATGGCGACATCTCACTCCAAACAAGCACACATATATTAATACACACAGATAATGGCGATATCTCACTCCAAACAAGCACGCATATATCAATACACACAGATAATGGCGATATCTCCAACCACACACACAACCCTACATACACATACAACCCTACATACACACCCACCCCTACACACTCACTACATTAGTGCACTGGCACACCTCCTTGTCCGCTGTGAGTCTATCCAATTTCTCGTGCAGTTCAGCCATATCTGTCACGTGACGCATGGCCTTGCTCTCCACTTCCACTTTCTTGGCCTTGGCCTCGGCCAGTGCCTGGGACATTTCCTCCATTTTTTTGGTCTGCGAAGCCAATTTGGTTTCGGTTTCGGATTGGATCTGTTGCGAAATGAACATAAAAAACAAGAACGTTGGTTTAGAATGGGACTTGAATAAGGACTCCATATTCCACTTCGTATGTACATCCTAATATAAGGCAAAATATTCTGCTGATTCATATCATATATACTATCAGTACAACCAGATACCTTGAACACATGAAGATCGATATCAGGCAGAGCTACATGGAGACTATTAGACTGAGCATAATTCGATAGTAATATGTACAACTCCATACTTTGATCACATG